CAAATCTTTCACTGGAAAAAAATACATTGGATCTAGAGTCCAGACTCTTGAAAACATTAACAAGAAAAAATACTCTTGATTCAATCACATTTTTGCTTAAATCCAAAGGAAATCCGCTCAAATTAAGAGGCTTGGTTCTTGATTTAAGCAAAAATCCGATTGAATCAAGAGTATTTTTTCTTGTCGATGTTTTTAAGAGTCTCGACTCTTGATCCAATGTGTTGTGCTTTTGTAATTTACAAAAGGCGGTAGCCGTAAGGATGGAACTTGGATCGCATCGTTGGTAGTCTTGATCGCTAGCCACTAGATTCGCAAGTCCCAACCTCTAAGAAGAGAAAGAGCGAGAAGAAAGAAACAAGAGGATGAAGGAAAGAGAATGAAGAGGAAGAGAGGGGAAAAGTGGACGAAAAGGGAAGGAAAAAGAAGAAATCAGACATGAGAAGGAAAAGAGAAAGGAAAAATGATAAATCAAAGTAGCACATTTCCAAACTCGAAAAGGTTCTTTTCACGCCGCACCAGTTCGCCTTCAATTTTGGGTGTAGTCAACTTGAGCTCCCACGAGGTCGAATAGTGGTATCAACGTGAAATGGCACGCTCGCGCTCGGGATACATACAAAAAAGAATTTGTTACTAGACGGGTGGATCTAAATAGGATCAGATCGACAAGAATTGATGAAAGCAGTTATAATTGAACCGATCGACATCGATTCGATCGGGAAATAATAGAAAACAGGTCCGACTTTATTTTCCGATCAAATTATGTCGATATAGACAATACCGGTCTATGGTCTACTGCCCCGGTAAATTTCAGTAAGCTCACAATTTATAACAAGAGCAAGTTTAAAATTATAATTCATTGTGAAGCATCTAGACCGTGACTTCGGTCACGTGTTTTTGCTGGATGAAACTATGTCGGCACGACAAGACTCGATACGCCCCTCGCTGTATTAGTTAGCTGATATAAACTTTCAATTGTCGGCCCGCAGGCTTTGACTGCTTTTAATTAAAGTCGTAGTTAAAATGTTACTGTCGTGGGATCATACAATTCCGCCCCGATGGCAATGCTGCAACAATTGTTACAAAAAAAAAAAAAAAAATGATGTTTACCCGAAAAATAACATTATAACTACAACTGGAAAAGTAGGTATAGGACCTAAAATTCACTTTAAGCAATGCAAAATCAGCTATTCTTTTTAATCCGTACGTATTCCTATCCACTTTCCGTTCTTCATTTCCTGATCCGAAACGACGTGACAAACGGCGGGGTCGGGGAGGGGGGAGAGGGAGGGGTCTCGCCGTAAAAAAGCAAGGTTCCTTTTGATTGCCTGGGCCTGCCACGCCATGCACTGTCACGAGGCCTCTGCCACGCCGCATTTCGCCGCAACATCCGTAAATCATGGCCTCACTGCATGAACTTTCATTAAATGCATTTCACTAGCCTCCCTCTTGCCCTGCTTAAGAATTCCACCCGGGAACTTTGCACTGCTCCCGTTCTGAGGAAAAACACCTTATGGAAGTCCGGACCGAGGTTGCCGCAGAATTTAGAAAATTCGAATTCCCTGATTTCCTAGACAAATTTCGGCATGACTCACGGTGCAACTAAGACTGTACAAGGGTTTTCCTCTTTCAACGGAAATTCATAGGCTCAAGACTAGCAGACCTTGTTTTAAAATCAGGATCAAAATTTGTAGGATGTCTGCCAACAGCGCATTAAACTAGGGCGTATCGACGGTGAAAGTCGGCAATCACATAACTCGGTTTGCGACGTCGCAGACTTCCTGTCATGCTTTATTTTTTAAACGGAAAACTACTCAACGGTAATTCTTTAAAACTGCCGTGATTTTTCTTCTATGTGCGAGGAAAATTCTGCAAAAACTTCAAGGAATCATGTCCATTTGTTCTCCTTCAAAAAAATAACATAGTTGCGGAGATTTTTAGACACCGCAAACGAGTTATGTGATTGCCGACTTGCACCGTCGATATAATATTCTGTTACAGAGAGGAGCGTCATGAACGCTCTTGGCTATACCTGATGGCTTTTACTGATTGTAGGATTAGAATCTCCTATCTTCGTCTGAGGGTATACGCAGGATGGTTCGAGTCATGGACGAGTCGATGGTGGATCGAGTCAATTAGAGGGGTCGGACATGAAATTTATGACAAACACTGCAAATTTCGATCTATAATTCCTCACATTTTAAATTTAAATTGGTGTTTCTAAAAGGAAATACGAGGAGACCAATGGAAACACTTTTAAAATCTCAGATTGCGGTATGAACGGAGTCATGAGCTTTTAAAGTTTCCAAATCTTGTCCGACCTCTTCCATTGACTCGATCCACTGTGCGGCGGTCATTTCACGAAAATACGATTTGCGAGTGTAAATATGGCAACGTTGAGGTGCGGTTACGTTCTTTTCTCCGGGAAACGGCGGGATGTGGAATCGTCTCGTGCCTTCATCTTGGGGACAATGCGGACTCGCGGCGGGCGAATAAATCAAGAAAATTAGCTACCCCTTCGCGAGTTCGCGGGGAGGAGTGCGACACGAGGACGCGGGGCGAGACACTGCACAACTAAANTATAAATCGCCCGCTTTCGACGAAAGTACCGTTCTCCCGTGTCGTGGAAGAACGCTCTATGAGCCTTCAGACGTTGCTAAATTTCCTTCCATAAAAAGAAATTATTGAATATTTTCCCTTATTTTTCAAGTATTATTTAAGCAATTTAATCTCCAGAGCTAGGTGTATATTGTCAAAATAAGCCCCCATCATTGGTGCGACTGTTGAGCGCTACCGATCAAAATGAAGAGAGTGGTGATCAACATAAATTGGATTGTATTTTGCAAAAAGGAACCAGGAGCATTACCATGCTGATAAGATTCTGCAACTTCACCCTCTGCAATAAAACTCCTGTATCATGCAAAAATATGAAATCACACGGTAATTTAGTCTTAAATTTACAGCTTTTAGCGCGTAAAATAAAAGGTGTTTATAGATGAACAGGTTTTCTTTCTAGGACAAAAGAGGTTGTACAATCTTCGCAACGTTGCAATGCTCTTGGTTCCTTTTTGCAAAATGCAATCCAATTACGAGTAGGGTATATTGAATAGAATGGCTACCGATACTCTGCTGGATATTTATGTTGATAAAAAAGTAGAGGCTCCTCTTAACCTCGTTCGGCAACACTCAGCAGTCGCATGCGGTGACCCATTTTGGTAGGCTAGTTTTGATTGGAAAAACCAAGCTTACGGGGCTGTCCATAAAAGTCATGCAGGTATTAAAAGGAGGGGGTTCAAGAGGTACCCATGCAAGTGTACCAGACAAACAAAGTGAGGGGATGGGGGTATTTTTAAATCTGATCTACTTACGTAAAAGCCACTTTCACAGCGCTCTTCGGCGCTCTGCGACACCCAGTCGCCAAAGTACCCTATCCTCCCGAAGCCCTTCAAGGTGTTGGCCCACCCCCATTTCCTCCCAAACCTGATGTCAGCTTTCAAAGGTTAATTAAAAATGCCTGAAGTCTAAAGAAGGCCAAGCAGGAGAAGTTTCCTTGATTTTTATTCATCGAATAACTCAAATCTCAAAACTACACTTCTTTGAAATACGCTTTTCCTGTAAGCAAGTTTAAAGTGAGTAAAACTAATTAACTTTCCAAATCACTTCGTACACGCACGTTCGATACTCAATAGAAAATATTGTTCATGCCTGTAACGCAGTGGCTTCATTTCCCCGATTTTTCGCAGTATTCTGGAATTTCGGTCGAACGTAAGAGAGAGATACCATAACCTCGAGTCATTTTTACGGGGGTTCTATAGGTGCCTGACAAGCGGGAGAGGGTGGAGGCAGAAAAATACATGACGTCATTAACGGGCAGGTCCCAGAGTACTTTGGGAAAAAACACATTGGATCTAGAGTCGAGACTCTTAAAAACATCGACAAGAAAAAATACTCTTAATTCAATCAGATTTAAGCTTAAATCAAGAACTAAGCCTCTTAATTTGAGCGGATTTCCTTTTGATATAAGCTTAAATCTGATTGAATCAAGAGTCCTTTTTCTTGTCAATATTTTCATGAGTCTGGACTCTAGATCCAATGTGTTTTTTTTTCCAGTGTAACTAAAAATTTCATCATTATTCACGACTTTCCTAAAAAAGAGAATACTTTCTTGGGGGGAAATCGGCAACGTCTGGTTGTTCATACAGCGTTACGCGCTAAAGGAGGGCGGTAAGAGGCGCAACAGCCAACCTCGAAGACAGCTTGCTTTTTCGCGAGGGGAAGAAAACAGAGACGTGACGCACTTCGCGGTACATCGAATGATCTACCGTTTAAACGCACGGAAAAGGATCGATAAACAGGGCGTTCGCAACGAACACCTTAATAATCGATTCTTTACCACAGCTTCAAAGGGAAGATATCGATAATCGATCATTCACACCGAAGAAGAGTGTGTTCGGTCAACTGGTAAGTGCTTAAAAGTGACGTACGACCCGGAAAATTCTTAGGATCTGTTGGCGCTCGAAAAAACCGCCCCGGACAGGAAAAAATAAACTGCGGAAATCATGAGCGGTTTGATGCGAGAGGGGCGCCTCGCCCCTCACGGCGCGCGAGGGAGTCGTATCTCTCGCGGGGTGAAAAAATAAAAATCCCTTTATTGAAACCTAATAAATATAATATGACTTTCAACTTATTTACAAGGGGACTTTGACCAGAGGGACAAAGTTGTCCCTTCGAATCGAATCGATATTCTCCGTTCGTTTTTACTCAAAAGGTGCCAGTTTTCGTTCGCGACTTCTTCGTCTTTTTCCTCTGTTTCGTCTTGCCGAAGAAAAACGCCGGTGTATTGATAATGTTTAACTACCTATGTTACATAAAATAAAATCGCTTGCACTGCAGGGCCCTTTGCGCTCTGCGACGCCCAGCCGGCGCAGTTTTCTATCCTGCCAAGGATTTCTGAGGTTTAATTATTTAAAATATTCTTTGGATGTGTAAAAATGTAAGCTTACCTTCTGAGGGGAAGTTATACGTCGCACTGGCCGGTGATGACGCCGTTTTGTTTTGGGACGGAGGTCGGAGAGAGAGTCCCCTCGGGGGGACTTCCGGGGGCGCGGGTTCCGGAGGAGACTCATTGAGCCCATCTGAAAAAAAAAAAAAATGAAGAAATAAATAAATTATACCTTAGTAAAAGTAAAATTGAAAAATCAATGAAGATACCATGATTTTGAGGGTATAAACACTTGTTGCATGCAAAGAAAAAGAACCTGGGTTGTGAGGAAGACTACAACTTGCAGGACTACATTACAGGAACTATACAATTTCTGGCTTAATTTCGAGACAACGTGAGCGCCGTTAGATTCCCTTTGCACATATGTGTAATTACAGATTAGCCAAAAATTATCCTTCCGAATTGCAAAATGTAGTCGAATCAATAATATGAGGTCCCATTAAATATTCTCAACGACATATGTTTGGTCAACGACTCCAATCTACAAATATTCTGGTAAAGAGGGGATTTCACAAAAAAAATCAGTGGGTATCGCGACCTTTTTTGCGGGGCAAGAATATAGAATAATCGATTGTAAGTTGGACAGTCTACTTGAATAAATATAAGTTTTATACCTCCGTGAATTCTATAATGCCATTTGAGAAATAATCTACGTAAATTTCAAGCCTACAAAGAAATAAATACGAGGTTTCGTATTGAGAGCAAAAGAATATGGATCGCCACACATTCACTGATTATACATTCTTCGAAAGAAAAATAATAAATAGAAATAATAGTAGAAATAATGTACGTAAATTTCAAGCCTACAAAGAAATAAATACGAGGTTTCGTATTGAGAGCAAAAGAATGTGGATCGCCACACATTCACCGATTATATTCTTCGACCAGTAGCGAGACGTAAATGATCGATTATCGATATTTCCCCACTTGGAGCCATGGTAAAGAATCGATTATTAAGGTGTTCCCTGCGAACACCCTGTTAATCGACCCTTTCCATAGGTTTAAATAGCAGATCAATCGATGTATCGCAAAGCACGGCACGCCACTGTCTTTGACCCTCGTAGTCTCGAGGCCTGCCCTTAGGGCTTACCAGTCTGAATACACATCTTGTAGCTGCGAGATAAGTTCACAATGCTTGAAAGATAATACGCAGTATCGCGAGAGAAAGAAAGAAAAAAAGAGTATCTATAAGCCACTCTTCCGGAGCGAAACGGGTAGAAATAAAACACATTGTGCCGAGGACTTAGATCGTCGCTCCCCTGACGTGAGGGCGTATCTTGATTTTCGCACGAGCCCTAGGGTCACGGATCTCTATGTAAAACGGGGGTCTTGTGGAAACAGGGATGCGGCCTCGCGTCGGAGGAACGACGAGATTGGCGGTGGTGGAGGGTGGGGCGGGTAGCGGGGAGAGGGGAGGGAGCACAGGCCAACGAGTTTGCAAATGTTTCAGCATTGCGCGACCCGATGAACAATGGTGAACGAGGTAACTACGCGAAAAGCTCAAAAGTCAGGCAACGGGAATACGCGAAAAACGGAAGAGCACTTGGGATGCGATGCACGCCTGCCGGATGTACTCTAGGCCGGAGAGCACGCAGGATTTTCAACGGGGAAAGAAGGAAAAACCACAGATCGACGGGGAACATGATTGTTCCTCATATTTTTGTACCATTACCCCGTATGAGGGAGCATTATTCGATGGAAAAATTTTTCAATAAAGTTGCGATAAAATGCAAGGATCATTAATATCTGAGCGATAATCCTCGATCTTGTCGCAATTTTATCTCCATATCGAAGAAATCGCGATTTTCAACGGGGAAAGGTATAAAAACTACAAATTGACGGGGAACATGATTGTTCGTCATATTTTGTACCATTACCCCGTATGGTTTGAAGGACGTTATTTATGGAAAATGCTATGTTTATAAATTAAGTTGCTATTTTTTTGCCATAAAATCTCTTAAGATCTTACGATCTCTTAAGATCATCAACATCTGAGCGACTTTCTTCGATCTTGTCGCAATTTTATCTCCATAAAATTGCGTTCGACTAATCGAAATTTTATCGCACTTCATCACGGTTTTTTGTTAGATAATATTGCGATACATCGCCCTCGATAAAATTGCGATTTTACTGCAAATTTATGTGATGAAATCGCAATTTCTAATCTGATGATATTGCAGTAAATCGACGTCGATAAAATCGCGATACGTTTTCCGATCAAATCTCAACTTATCGCGATCACAGCTACTTAGGTAGTCTGACAAACTCGAGTATGCAGACTCCAAATTTATCGACGGTAAAATTCTAAAATATCGATTACTAATCGATATTTTTTGGAGTAGCCTGATTGGATATTGGACAGGATGAGAAATGTTCCTGGCCAGAAAAGCCAAAATTTCGTCTTACGATTATGTCGCTGCAAGAAAAATCGCGGTTGGGAATGATTCGAAATAACTGCATCACTTCTTGCTGGAGGCGCATTATCCTCTACATGGTTTCTTTTATTTAGAGTTTTTCTTTTCAGCAATGCATTTTAAATAGTTCTTCAGCGGATCTACGTTGGGCTTCGGATTCTAACTGGGAAGTTAAACCCTAAAAAGTTAGTAGGCAGAACTCACCCCGTTAAGTTTGTCTCTTTACTTGGGCATTTACGAATGGTATAGTGATAACGTAAAATAGATTAAGACTTTGTATTCTTTATTGAAATGAAGCATAAAAAAAGGAATGCACCATTTGGTAACATAGTCATGCGAACATTTTAAATCGGCCTTACGTTTGTTTCCCGTCATTTGCGAAACGCAAGATAAGTGGGATCACTTGAACTAAGCCCCGATTCCGCTGCGCCTGTATACTTCTGCATGAATGGTCGAAAACAATATGAGGCGTTTCTTGCTGACTAGAATGGAACGATCTCAAATTCAAAGGGGCAAGCTCAAAGCAATGCCGAACGACGTTTTTGCGAAGATAGATCAAATATATTTCAAGTTTCTGTACATTTAAGTCTTACAATATTCACAATTTAATGTTTCTCAATTAATCGATTTTCGTACAGACCCATTAGATGAACCCAAACCGAGCTTCTTCGGATATTCGTGTGTTATTTTTAATGTCATTATGCCTGATAGCAAACTTCAGGGAAGAAGAGAAGTGGTTAGGAGATGATGATATACTACATATAACGTGGAACTTGGAACAGACGAGAAATTATTTTTTTAAAAAAAAACGGAAATTTTAGACATGAGGATGAATACTCAATCCTCTGCTTTTTCATCCCTTTACGACCATTCTCAGCTTTATAAAGGGATCGCGTTTAACAGATGGAGACCAACGGGATGAAAGGGCTTTAAAAATCGAGCTTCTTCACCTTTGTCTAAAAATGCCCAGCACGGGAAATAGTTCTGGTTCTTCCATCAGTTTTGAAGAAAGACGATCGTGTGAATCTCATTGTTGTGCATATATTTAGTATTACTTAAAGCGAAGAAGAATTTGCAGAATTTGGGGGAAACTGCAATCTTTTTGGTTCCATTCCGTTAAATGCAATCCAAATTGGCTGCATTAAATAGACATCAGAATTTCCCGTAAGAATGTTCCTTTTCATAAAGTTCCTGTCCGTGCAGTGACAATAATTTTCAAGTTATCTAATAAAATCGATGGATTATCAGAGGACGAAGGCATGATGAGCCATGTTAAAAACGGCTCTGGCTCTAAAAATTAATTGCAGATCACCACGGGCAAGTTACAAATTGAAATCCTTAAACTTGGGGAAAAAGACCTATGATATTTTTTTTTTCACAGGGTTAAAATTTAGGCAAAGAACTGAGAGCCAAAACCACACTTAGCAACCTCCCCACTCACAGCGCCATAATATGAAAGAGCCTCGAGCTACACATCGGTTCGGGAAAAGGTGCCGCGGTAGGTATCAAAATAAAGGCCACTGGGGGTGTTCATGGCGCGGCGCAGCGTGGCGCATTGCCTACCATGCGCCTGGAAAGGTTGCAAACTTGTAGTAAACTCACGACAAAGTTGGCGCGACGTTGACTTTGACTCCCGTAGCCGCTAGTCACTCGGGCCAACTTTAAATGGGATTTAAATCAACCGTGACTCATATTTCAATGCTTGGTGACAAAGCCGTAAATTGACTTTCTCTGATTCAACGTTGCCGCGTGGCTGGAGAGTATTAAATACCCTTTCAAGAAAGGGCACTTAACATCCTTATCGTCAATCGATCAATATTATTGTATCCAAATCGGACATGGATGAATAGTTCTCAGCATTTTTTTGTTAATAATTTGCTCTATTCGGTAAAATTCTGACGAAGTATTAATCACCGTCCTCCCTCGTTTTTTTGTACGAGTGTTGATAATTTTATCCTTGTAATAGTTCACTTTGCCCAAGCCAGTATTAGTAAGTGAAAATGATCGTGGATTATGGTAGATTTCAAATATTTCTTTTTAGGTCGTTGCTACAATTTTACGATCGCACATCAGTATATTAGAGATGACTTACAACGCCTGGAAGAACGGCCCTGTCGGACATACTGTTCTCTTCCATGGCACGGTATCCGGTAAAACTAAACGTAAACGAGAGAATTAAAAATCCATTGAAGAATAATTGTCCATTAAATTACAACACTTGCAAATGGGACCCTTTTGGACATACCATCGTTTCCCGGTTGAAGGAACGTAACTTCATTCCAAGATTGCGATAATGCGTCAATCAATTCAACTTTTTACGAAAATAAATCTGCAAAATTTTCGTCGAAAATTTTTTTCATTTTGTATGAGATTAGAGGAAAAATTATTGAAATTTTCAATTATAAAACTTCTCACCATTCTCGTGGTAAAAATGCAATTTGAGCGGAAAAATCTGGCAACATTAAAAAGTAGTTCCGTTCTTTTATGAGAGTAACTACGATAGTGCTCTCTTCTATGGCTAGGCATCGGGTTAAATCCAGACGAACAGAGAACTGGCAAGGGGGCCCGATTATACGTCGGCGTCAGTTTCGCCTTGCAACACGTTTCGGCGTCTCCGACTTGATGTCGTAACGCCTTTGAAAAACTACTTACTTTAAAACTTATCATATTACCCGGGACCTCGAGCCGGGGCTTGATTTTAAGTTGCTCTTGTCAATTA